ATGTTCTTTCAAATTGCAGCTTGAATTTTAAAACCAAAGTTTTAGATAATATTCCAAAGTAAATTTTGCGTACTATAGGTCCTTGGTCCATGGTCAGCAGACGATAATATAAACCAGCCAAATAGTGATTGAAAAGAGAGAGCCTCAGGAAGTTCAGTTTTCATTTCATTATGTATTAAAGAGAGGATCTTTCATTTATGAGCCATATTTTAAGTATAGCACTTTAAATGAGTGGAGTAAAAATAATAAAAACCGCATGCAGTGTTCAAGTTAAATATAAATTATTTCTCGAAACTTTCCCAGTAGCACTGCACTTTATAAATTAAGTAATGATCAACAAGGCCTTACGAAGGAAGCTTATATCTATACATTTGGTTTCATTAGGGAGCTTTAGCAAAGTCAAAAAATTCAGGCAATTGGTTTTTGCAAGCAAAACATTACTCTGCACGTGCATGATGATGCATGCTTTTCAGTCGGATCTCTATGCTGTTGCTGCATGAAATTTCTTGACGGGAAGTTTTTTTTGAGAAGTGACCACAAATTAATTTTTTCTTTCCCTCTAAACTTTGACTGAATTCATTTAAAATAGTGGTGATTTCACTGCCGTCGCATCGTAACTGAAAGACACACTTTCGCACAGAAGCGAAAATAAAATTCTTCATGAGACCAAACTAGTTCTCCCCACAGAAATCTCATTTGGGTTTCAAAGTTAAAATGATGGCTATAGAAAATATACAGGAATTTATATCAGTTTGGTCCTTGGAACGTTTCTTTTTGTTCATGGTTTGCATGCCGGTTTACAAGTGGCCAAAGTGGCCGGACCTAGAAACCACTGGCCAGGCCAGGCCAGGCCAATGTTTTTATCATAGTCTATTTCGCTATTTTCAGCTATTTCAATAGACCTTGTTGAAAAAACAAAACAAAACAAAAAATAATAATTTATTATATAGAGATACAATGCACAAAAAACTGAATATTAATGCTTTGAATCAAACTGTTAACTTGACAATAGGAACGAGTATCGTACACAGTTTATGCTCACTGTTGCAGTATGAATGAAACACCATCAAAATGCAATTGATGCAATTAATCATCAACACATCTTACGGATCAAATGTCATGACCATTCAATTCTTAACTTTTTCATCAGTGGCTGAAGAAGCTGGCTGTTGTCGAGGGGTTATTTTTGCAGTTGGGGATGCGGTTTAGTGGCTGTTGCAGTTGTAGAGAGTGTCAATGTATGGAGAAAAAAAGTGCCCGTTGTAGAGAGATGGCCATTGTGGTGAGGTGGCGGTTAGTGGAGATTTGACTGGATGTATGCATGTTTTTTTGTACTTTGCCGCTGTTGCACAAGTATGACATGTAACACAAGACTATTATATTCAATTTCTTTTTCTAAAGTTTTTCTACAGAAAAAGCCACTTTTAGTAAGAGGGACAGTCTTCTAGAATTCATTTATCCTGAGAAAATGCTGGAAAAACTGGCCACAGTTTTGCAAAAAAATGAGCAGATAGTTTTGTTTCTGTTATAGGATGGAATAAGAGGGATGAGGGGTTGTTCCTACTTCAGAAGGATGAGTGGTTGTCCCATGTCACAGATGTGGGATTTTTTAATTTGGAAGCAGAGCTCGAACATCCTGAGAAAATGCTGGAAGTCTCTTTTTAAATGGCCTAGGATCACAAAATTTGGTGCAAATTTTACACTTCATTATTCCACGATCCTTATGGGTGCAAGCCAGCTCGATTTCTCTTTGCCAGTATACTATGGCAAACTTTTAATACTTGAGCAGATAGTTTTATTTCTGTTATAATTGTTTTTCAATTCATTACCATGTTTTGAGCCCATTGTGCAAAATTGATTCAGGCCTCGAAATTAATTTTTTGGATTAAGTGGGCATAAATTTTACTAACCAAATTGTAAAGTTTACTATCCAAGAATCTGTTATTGAGCTTAAAATAATTATATTAACTACTGGAAATTTGCTAATAAATGGGGCAAACTAAAGTATGGATGGATTGGTTTAAAATATTGTTTGGTTAGGCTCATTGAACTGTAACCAGGTGAATGCCTTTTTTGACTCTTTGCAGAAATTCCTCCTTCTTGTTTTCTCTTTCCTTTGTACCACTTCCAGGGAGCCTTCTGTATTGTTGTAAACTGTACTTGTTCTTTGTTGTTTTTCTGAATCTATCATTTTCTCTTCACATCTTTCGTCTGGTGACCTTTTTCTGCCAAAACTATTCAAGGATTTGTGCATCTGATTTGTATAATAAATAGGTTGCGACTTGTTCGTGTTGTTCGATTGTGAGCTATTATGCGGTAAACATATCTTTTAGAACCAAAAAATTGTTCGAGACAGAAAACAACCTTATGCAAAAAAGAAACACATCAGCCTTTCATGTAGTCTGCGAACAGGAGACCTATTTCTGGTCATCACTTCTCTTCCTCTGAAAAATAGCGTCTGCGAACCAGAGGAGCAAAATGATTTCCGTGACGTAAAACCTTTTGTTTTGATGTTGGCCAGTCAGATCAAAGGATAGAACACTGTTCGAGTGACTCCTCACGACCTCACGCACTGAAGTGTTTTGGATTTCGGTGAGAGTTACCAAATACGCTTTGGAAGTGAATTTCACGACCATAACAAGGTTTCCTGCGATGTTGAATGCTGACTTCTTTATGAAGCAACTGCTTCTTAAACTATGTATGTGATGTGGGTCTTTGGTTTCACTTTATAAAATATGGTAGTACGTGACATAAACAAAACCTGGACAAAATAATCGCTACAGCGAAAGGAAAGAAACGTAGCTTAACGACATCATGCTCAGACTTATTTATTTTAATTCAAGTGGCGCTGACAAAAGGTGGTGAATCAATTATACAGACACATCCTTGACTGATTCTGATTTCTGAAATCTCTCACAATCGCTTGTTAATAATTCTAGTATCGCCACAACACAATGATCTGAATTATTATAAACCTGGGCCAGACCCAGCATGAGATAAATAGTTACAGCAGTAAATTGATCATAGTCAAGATGACATTTCAGCTACGACACTTCGACTCATCTCACAAAAGATATGGAAGTTAAAACCTTGAAAAGAACATGTATTTAAAGAAATGTAAGAACAAATATAAAATGCTTTCAATGTGATCAAAGTTCTGTCTGAACCCAGAAGCAACCACCCATGGGAAATCAATTACCACACGTCCTAGCTTTCAAAGATAAAGGATATCTACTAAAAATTATCTAAAGCAGCACACAACAAACTATCGAAAGCATACTTTCCCGCCAGGAACCAGAAAGGAACAGAAGCAACAAACTGCATGATGCGTCTACTGTCATTAGGACATTTATCGTTTTGAATATGACCAAAACAACTACAATGAGGGACAAAAGTGTTGACACACGTCCATAAAGTGGCCCTTTTTTGCATAGTGGATTTACTAATCTCCTTCCCCTGTCTACCCCAACCCCTCCCCCCCAAACTCAATGTTGAATTTTGGACCCTTTACTTCAGACAACATTATTTCGGGGGGGGCAGGGGGAGGGGATTTACGGCGTTTAAAAAGAATGAAATGATAAATGAATTAATTGCTTGTTAAAAGCACCCGTTTTAAACAAGTGTGTCAACTACTTTTGTCCCTGATTGTCTGAAATATGTATCTGTGTTTTCCGGCTACATTTTTGACGTTGCTGAATTTTTGTGCGATGACATTACTCTAAGGGCCAAATTGTTTGTTTATAAATAACAATTTGTAAAGTTTCGTCCTGATTTGTAGTATATGTAGAGTGAAATGTATGAAGCGTATGTCATTACTTAATCTTGTACTCCCGCGCACATTCCTGATACCCTGTTGGGTCAAGAGGAAATCATTTGTGTTGAGATCAATGCCGTTGCTGCGGATGTAATGTTTTCACAAGTATTGTCAATTGTGGAAAAAGGATGGAAACACTAAGGTACAATGAAAATGGTTAACTTAAGCGAATGAAGTACTGCAGAGTAGCAGAGGGGACATGCACTATTTTTGACATTGACTTGTGCCTTCAGTGAAAGGACGTGAACAATATACAGGTTATGAACCTCATAAATGATGAGCCAGCCGTTTGTGCTATGCCCTATATATAGATGTGGTTTTTTTTGGAGACCTTTTCAAACCTAACTGATCCAAACCTTTAGCGTAGGTAGGCGTCGAACAGGTTAGACCAGGTTAGGAATGTACTTTTGTAATGATTTCAGATGACTGCCTGTTTTTATTGATGTTGGTTGGACAATTATTTCTTTTGCCTGCTCGTAAATCACAGAATGCCAAAGAAATTGTTTTCAAGATAGACTCACCAGTTTTTATCATCGCCAAAACATCAATTAGTTTGGCCCAGAAGTTCACTTGATGACAAGGAAAGCGGGATAAAACGTGATCGATGACGGCCGTGCGTTGGAAAATCTTCCTTTTTTATGCGCTAATTCCTCACGGAAGGCAAAAGAAGATTCCGCTATATGTAGAAAGTGCTTTGCAATACGTACTCTTGGCGAGAAAAATTCCAGCGATGTGGGGCAAATAAGGAGTTTCAACGGTTAACCACAAGAATACATATCGACATTAAGAAGTCATAACAGACTAATGTTACTTTCCGTTTGCCGAAACGTGTTTAACCGTTGTAACACGAAGGAAGCGGTGTTTTCCTCAGTTTGAGCTGTCGTTTTCTTTGAAAGTCAAATGCCAGTTCACATTTCAAAGCTCTCTTTCCATTTTCTCTGCTGACAATAGACAAAAACACAGGGTTTCGCTTAAGAAATGCAGTTCAAATACACAGACATATGCGCTCATGTCGTGCTATTTGTGTTGCGTTATCATGTCACACAGGGTGTCATGAGGTGGGATTGAAAGTAACACTGTAGTCTGCAACAGGCGAGGTAATCTTAGTCATGAATGAGACCTTGCTGCTTTTTCTAGATTCTTGCCCTTTTTGGAATTATTTGCACAGCAAATTCTCGTGGTACAGATGTGGCTAGAGCACAGTTTCAACATCTCACCGTTTGAATGGAGCTTTCCATGGCCACCCTCAGGGTTCTCAATAGATTTTTAAGTAGGAGGTGATCACTGATAAAGTAGGAGGCTCTTCAGCAAAGCCAGAGGTGTCAAAACAAAGCAAAGAAAAGCGACTTAAACACAAAGTAAGCGGCTATAAATCCCAAAGTAAGCGGCGATCAATCGCCGGGTGCCGCCTTCTATTGAGAACCCTGCACCCTGGTTGAACAAGCTGCGTAATTAGACAGGCAAAGGCCCAACAGAACTCGCTATTCCTGAAACAATCCACATTGCTCGCATGTTGGAGCAGTATATTCGCGGGTATTTGTGCAGCACCAACACCAACCGCTGGAAAGACCACCTGTCTGCGAAGAAAAGCGACCCCTCGAGTTACAACGTCACCAACTATTTCTACAGGTTTGAATTCCAAAAGAGGGGTACACTCCATACACACATCTTGATATGGCTAGAAGACATGAACGAGGTGGACATCACCAAGCTGTCAGCCACTTTACCATGGGGAAACGTGGAAGAAGCTTTTCAAGTATACGATCTGCAAAAATCTAGCAGCTGCGCTCTACCACTCAGGCAAGGTCCTAATCAAGTACTCACTGAGAATGGAGAAACATACCTGGCCTTTCATCATATGGCCAGCGAGCGTTTTCCGTTTCTGCCCCCCGACTATGGAACAAGCTCCCCTTTGAATTTCGAGCTTGTTCTGATGTTAATCTTTTTAAGTCTAAGTTGAAAACGTTTCTTTTTAAAAAGGTATATGACATTTAGTTTCATCATATTTGTTTTTGTTTTTTTTCCTTTTTAAGATGTGTATGCTATAAATTTCCCAATATGTACAGTAGGATTATATGTAAGCTTGTGATTAATGATATTCTTATGTCCTTTTTCACATTGTAAAGCGCTTAGAACAGCGATGTATAAGAGCTATATAAATTCTATTATTTACACGTGGAACGACAAAGGTTGCAACTTGCGCGCCTATGTACCAGCGGTCAGTGCCTCTTTGGAATGCTCAATGGACGTGCAGTCATCAGATGGGAAGGCCATGCTGCTGAAGTACGTAACATCTTACGTTGCTAAGTGCCACGACGCCGTCAAGACACAGCAGTTGTACTCGGTAGATCTTGGTGCCTACCAGACTGCAACATCTTTCCTCAAGAAATGCATCCCTTGGAGCCCGAAATGGTCCTCCAGTTGACCTCCCTGAAAATAGCGAGGAGCAACTCGCATACAAAAGCCTTCACAGCTCCAACACCAGACCAAACGGAGCACAAGATCCATCTGAAATACCTGGCTTGTGCAAACGAAGATGAGCACATGACGTTTCTTGGGTGGCTCCGTGAGTATGACTATGAGAAGAACCCGCCAAAGCGGTACAGGGACGGTAATACGCTGGTTGGATTGAAGCATTTCTCCGTGTTCAACCCGCTGTACTTCTTTCAACTCCTAGTAATGAACTTTCCGCACCGCAGCCTTGATGAACTTCGAGATCCTCGCGAGGACCGTCTAGCGGACCCCATAAAGTACTTTGTCCCCACGTGAGACAAGCTACCAGAAATCTTGGGTTCCAGGGAAACCATACTACAGTACTTGTCAAGTGAATCACATAAGAGAAGCTTTGTGAACACCATCATTTACTACATAGAGTCACTGCAAGACATCTACACTATGTGGCAGCTGGGCGGAATTGATAACACCTTCGCCACTTTGCAACGTTCTGACTTTGCAATGCAATATCCTCTGTCACCGCAACAAAGAGCTGTCTACATGAGGTATTATTCTCTAGTACAAGCACGCCAGCGTAACATCTATGGCACATGGAACATTAGACGTGTGGCCGTGAGAAACAAAGACCCAGAGCATGAATCAGAAGACTATACGAAATACCAACTTCTGTTAGGCTGTCCTGGCACTGGAAAGACCCAAGTAGTGAAGCCCTTAGTCCATACATTGATAGAAGAGGAATATTCAGTCACCGTCTGCAGCCCTTTGGATCTTCTAGCCACCAATTACTGAGAATAATTCTACCCTGACCTCGAAGCAGACACCATTCACGCCCTCTTCAACATCCCCGTCGGGGCGTACCAGAAGTACGTCGTGAATTACGCCATTGGCAAGTACGATGCCATTATCATCGACGAGGCTTCTATGGTCGGTGATGACACGTTCGACTTGATAGATGACACCTTAAAGAAGCAGGCGCACAGACCAGTTGTAATCATCGCAGGCAATGAATGTCAGCAGCCCCCGTTACAAACAGTGAATGGAAGCACAATCCAGACGACTTCCATGGTGAAACGTGGAAGAAGCTTTTCAAGTATACGATCTGCAAAAATCTAGCAGCTGCGCTCTACCACTCAGGCAAGGTCCTAATCAAGTACTCACTGAGAATGGAGAAACATACCTGGCCTTTCATCATATGGCCAGCGAGCGTTTTCCGTTGCTGCCCCCCGACTATGGAACAAGCTCCCCTTTGAAATTCGAGCTTGTTCTGATGTTAATCTTTTTAAGTCTAAGTTGAAAACGTTTCTTTTTAAAAAGGTCTATGACTTCCATCCTGAAGAAACAGCGTTTGAGGGAAATGAGCCAGATACAGTCTCTCTACCAGCAGTTTCGCTGTAGTGACAAGCCCTACCTCGACTTCCTCCAGTACATCCACCAGACGAAACCTGAGCAGTATGTACTCGACAATTTCCAACGACCATTGCTCCTGTTTAATGAGTCCGATGTCACAGACTACGACATCTGGAAGACGATGAAAGATGCTCCAGAGGCAACCGTCCTCACTGTCTCCCGAGCTGTGGCCACCAGGGTCAACAACATCGTGATCCGTCGCATGTTTGAAGACAAAACGCCACTATCATCAATAGCTCTGGATAACGACCTTCAAGAGTTCCTCGCCTTCAAGCATATGCATGTGGTAGTGATGCAGGACCTGGATAAACGTACGGGCGTTGTCAACGGACAACTGGCAACCATCGTTAACAGCCAAAATAACACGCTGCTTCTCGAATTTCCGAATGGGAAGACCACCTTCACGTATCCCGTAACAACGGCTACAGAAGAAGGCATCTGCAGAGTGCATTATGCCCTTAGCCCGGCGTACTCTATGACGATCTGCCAGATACAGGGTGCCAACATCAAAAAACTCATTGTCTGGTTCGATTACCCTACAGTGCCTAAAGGCATGGCATATGTTGCCTTGTCTAGGGTATGCAAAAGCGAACACATTAGAATCCTTACTCCCATGGTCGCCGACCAACTCACACCGGCCTTGAGCTAAGCAGTGCTTACAGACCAGCAACGTGTCATCTTCAAACCATACTCTATAGTGATGAGAGGACACTTTTTCTTGCTATGAAACACTCTCCTACACCCCTTCTGCCCGTCGCTGTACCTTACGGTTTCCTAGTAACATCAGTAAATACTTGTCGTGGGTTGGTTCTTTCGTGTTATTACGAAGTAGCTCTCAAACAGCAACAGAACAGAGATACACATACGCCGTGAAAGACCATCCCTCAGCTATAAACGCTCAATCTCACTAGCAATCATTTCTTTTCAGCTGTCACGCTGAACCCAGAATCCCTGGACCCCTGAAAGCAAAACAGGGGTGAACTATTTCAAACACACGACAAAACACTTTCTTACGCCATACAGAAAGACCCACGGCATACTCACCAGCCGAGAAAATCTTGGATAAATTATTTCATTGGAATTGCGAGTGGCTGACTCGCCCAAACTATGCCATCAGCGAGTTGGCTGACACACTCTATGCGAATATGGCAACATTGGCAGAATATAGGGACAAGGTCTTCGCTCGCCAACCGGTCGACGTCTTGATCAACAAGGCCAGACCCATCGCCAGGTCCTTCAAAGATTTAACAAAAGGGACTCCGCCACCGCTGAAGAACCGGACGAGTGCGACCTCGCCTCTCTCATGAAATTTGTTGAAGATGGGACCCTGCAGACACTGTCCAAGCATCTGTTTGCCGCTTCTGGCACAATGTACTCCATTGCAACCCATCTCATGACCCTACAAACGCTATTCAGCCACCCGGCTGAATTTGCGAGACGACACCGCAAATCGCCTGAGGTCCAAGGGTTCAAACAGAACCCATCCTGCGAATCGATGGTTGCTTACATAGCATCACAGACCCTTACACATAACGAGATCGTCGCCGAAGACGAACAGGGGGCGAACATATGGGACATTCTTACCCAACACGTGCCCAGCCGGGAAACCTGGGCAATTGCTCCCTTATGGGATATTGTAGAAGAACAAGGAGAAGACGCCGAAGAACCCGACGAGGAGGACAATTTACCACCTCCCAGCCATCGGAGAGCACGACGCAACATATTAGACGAGGAGGACGACGAGTTGCAGGAGGAAGAGCCCTTCAACACGCCCAAGTCATCGGCCGAACACGCGCTCTTCATCACCCAACAGGATCCCAAACCCTATCACGAGCCTGGCACTTTGTCTTGCTCTCAGAGGCGCAAGACCCCAGCGACAAGTAAGAAACGTACGTCGACAACTAATATCTGGGCAAGCTTCGGATTGTGTACTGATCAACCAACCACATCTACCAGCTGTGGTCCTTCTCCTGCAAAGAAGTGAGCAACCACCGATCATGGCCGAGGCACTCGCGGCACAACCCGTGGCGGTGGACGAGGTGCACGAGGAAAACATGGCAAGGCAGCACTGCAACACATTTTCTTTGAGTAGCGTGTCAACTTGAACTGAACCGTGAAACTTGTAACCCTTCGTTGGAAACTTGTCGTACTGCACTACACAGTTGCACTTTCACTCAATAATCCACGACTCGTACTGCACGAAACCGTCGATATCACGCTGAACACGTCTTTCACCAAATACTCAGTAAGGTGGTGCTCAACATCCCCCCTCAATATCATACTGTGCAACTGTTGCCTGCAGCAACGAGTCGTTTCCAAAGGGTCCTGTTGACACTTTCAGTTTTCCTGTGCCATTAGCTGCCACGAACTATTAGTGACTAGTACCGCCACGATCTAATTTCCACCGGTACCAAGGGTTGTTGTTACATTCATCCTATGTTAAAGCAAGTCAGTGACATTCTACCCTTTCAAAAACAATTTACCAAGCACAGTGCTGTTCACTTCAAACATCCATGTCGTGGTTTCTAGGCGGCACACCCTTTAAGACACCTCCTCTTCGTGTCTACATTTGATCTTTTCGTTCTGGATGACACCTACTCGTGTACTCAGTTGCTTCCAGACCTTACCAGGTAGTCTTGGTGAACAGCACTGGTGCTTAGTAAATTACTTAGTTCATTAGACACCTTCACTTCGTTATTTTCTACAGACAACAGTGTTGTCTCTGTTTCGATCATAGGACGCAAGTTCCGAAAGTTTCCTTTTTTACGTCATCTCCGAAAGCCGCTGTTAACTCACCTAGGGATCTTCGACTCCCTGAACAGACATTTGCGTTATAATCACTGTAAAGTACTCGATATAATTTTGTATCTACCTTTCGATTCCTTGTAAATACTCGAAACCACCAGAAAGGCCTTATGCATTGCCCTGTCTATACCTAGCTATTATAGCCACGGCCAAAGTCTCTCTGATAGCTTTTCGTAGATGACATTGCCTCTACATAAGAACCAGGTGTTACCTTAAACTCTATTTGTTACGTTGAACTACTGTCTCTTCCCTGCGAAAATGTTCCTGTTGAGTGTTTTGGGGGGATAAATGATAAAAGAAGGAATCTGGAAAATTCTGCTTCGCAATGATAGGTTGCAGAAGAGCCGCGTTCGAAGGATCAAAAAGCAACTCGAACATTTGATCAAGGTTGGCTGCCTCAAGCCGGTTGTCCCTGTCCTTTTTTGCTTTAGCAGGGTGGGCAGGTGGGATACCAAACTTATTGTTTTGGTGTACACTTGCAATGTTTGCTACGCTGTACTTAGTTTTTTATTGAATTGGCCATGAATTTACCTTCACTTTCCGTAGTTTCGATTTTGAACGCAGTGACGGCCGCTCCTCACCAATGCTCCATATTTCTGTGGCGGGCCAGTGACTATCCCCACTACGTGTCAATCCTTACCCTACCCGTGATTGTTTGCGCCTTAACAATCGGATAAAGTGAAGAACAAGAAATATTCACTTTATTAAAAATATTTTCAGTACGCATACCCTTGAAATTAATCAAAAGGTGTACATGTGCACGAGTTTCAGCGTCAGTTTTTAGCTTGTAAACCATATCGACGCTAATTCTGGATATCGCAGCCCTTATATTACGTCATCACGTAATTCAAATTGGCCCTATAATTCGGTTCTGAATAAGTCAATGTCACCCCACCACCAATAGCATAATTATGTCATTGATTCCTTTAATTTCAGTTAAAATCAGTGTCATGCACGGCTCAACTTGTGTGCAGTAGCACAATTTTGGATTCAGACAATGAGGGACAAAAGTGTTGACACACTTCCATAAAATGGCCCCTTTTGCATAGTGGATATACTTATCTCCTTCCCCTGTCTAGCCCAACCCCTTCCCCCCAAACTCAATGTTGAATTTTGGGCCCTCGAGTCTTTTTTTTACTTCAGACAACATTGATTCGGGGGGTGAGGGGATTTACGGCGTTTAAAAAGAATGAAATAATAAATGAATTAAATGGTTAAACAAGTTTGTCAACAACTTTTGTCCTTGATTGTAGGTGTGATAAATCATTGATTCCGTAGGCAAATAGATAAAAAATGTTGTGTAATCTTTTCTTCGATATGAATCCTCTTGATGCTTATTTCGTCAATCAGTCCTACGATCCTGGCAAATTAACTGTCGTGAACGCGTCGGTCTGAGAAAAAAGGGCAGCTATACACAAGCTAGGTCGTCCTGTCAATTTCGACTTGTAAACATATCCACCGCGCACGATCTTGCGAGAAGTCTCCTGTCTCAACGACTGGAAATGCGTCTGCCGTTCGCAGGCTGCCTTTTGTGAAAATTAAGGCTCATTTGTAAGAAGAATTTCTATAAATGAAAATACATAATTTACAGAAATTTTAACAAACCATGTCTGGTTAGTTGGGCACATTTTTAGTAACCAAACATTGGAAACTACTACCCGTTGGTTAACTGGTTACCGTTAATTTCGAGCCTTTTGATTGGTAAAGTTTAACAGTGCTTTTTTCTAACCTGAGATCAGTCGTTATTATTATTATTATTATTTTGGCTTCTTTGCCTCTTTGGCTCGAGGGGAAAAAATAATGCCTGATATATTCATTTAACAAGGCTTCAACTGCGCCCTAATTTACATAATATAACGTCTGGTTGACCTGTCATGTTATTAGCCAAGCAGCGTTTACCAGACAGGATTAAATTTTGGCATGAATATATTGACTCTTTTGAAATTGATTTTAGGGAAAAGAAAGTTTTAAGTATGCCCATGTTCAGATGGTGCTGCCATGAAATACTGCTAGTGGGAGCTGCTGTACCTTTATTTGACAGCTACAAATGAATAAAGAATTTACTGGTAAAAGTTCGTTGACTTCATTCTTTACCGCAAGCAGTGAAAAAAATTTTTTAGGTGCACTATATTTCACAAACTGAAAAGTGTTGCAAAAGCGAAGATCGCTCCGAATAATTTGCAGGTTTCTGAAGGAGGAATTACAGTTAAACCAGGTCAAGACTCCATTTGTGAATTGATTATTTGAAAAGTGAATCTGTTTGTCTATTCTGTAACTTGTACCTGGTATCAAATTGCATTCAAATGACCGGTGAATTTGTTACTGGAACTTTTTATTATATGATGAGATGGAAAACTTTTCAATGGATAAAATTTCTGTTTAACCATTGTTCAAATTATTCAAGAAAACTGAGCCGGCCAAAATTTCATAACGAACTAGCGTGTGTTCACTGCTCATTGTGCAAGCAAAGATGCAGACTGAAATCAACAACAACTAATGGATGGCGGCATTTTGGCCAATCGGAACAGCGCAAATCATCCATATTTTTTCCTATCCAGTCAGAAAGAGGTCCAGATTCTGGCTTTTTCGCATGTGATTTGTGAAAGGATTGTATCATGCCCTCCTCCCGAAAACAGATTACAGTGATAAAGGGAGAGGGAATGATTTTGGGGTAGCTTTTTCCTTGCTAATCAGTTGAGCAAAGTTGCC